GGTGGCAGAGGGGACATGAGCCAGCTGGAGGCCTTTGAAACATGGGCTGGAAAGGCCCCAGCAGACAGGGCCTAGCCAGGCTGTCACTGCCTGGGCAGGTGTCCACGGGGACAGAGACACAGCCCTTCCCCAGAGCTCACACCACAAGGGGGCTCGACGGGGAGGGACGGGGAGAGTGTGTCTGACCTTGTCTCTCGCTGTTCAGTAAATAACTCTGGGCCTTCTGGACAGGGCTCCAGGGCCCTGCCGTCCAATATGGTGGCCACTATCACGGGAATTTAGATGAATGAATTAAGTAAAAATTAAACTCCTCAGCCACGCTGGTGACCCTCGGGGCTCAGTGGCCGGGTCGTCTGGCAACCGCGCTGCGTCCTAACCTTCCTCTTCACCTGCTTTACAGTCCCTGACCCCCAGCACTGCCCAGCCAGTGTTCAGAAGATTCTCTGATTTCTTCTAAATTCAGGCCTCTGCTCACACACTGATCTGGTTCTACTTCCGTCTCTCTTTGCACAGTTCTGTGGATTCCAGTGATGAGCCCTACACACCTTTTGCTACGTCTAGTGTTATTATTATATGGTTCATTTTAGTTCATTTCCAGTAATTGCTGTAAGTTATAGAAATGGCAGTTTTTGTATATTAGTCTTATATCTTGCAACTTTGCTGAATTTACACCTTGATTTTAGCAAATTCTCTGGGTTCTGTGTATTCCATCAATCATCTGGGCAGGAGGGCAGTTCAGCAAGACATCGCCAGTCCTCGTGCCTCGGCTTTGTGGGATGCTGTTGGCAAACCTTCACCCCTCCTATGGGCACTGAGAGAGGAGGGGACCTCCCTGCCCAGCTGGACTTGGGCTTGGTCACGGGACCTGTTCTGGCTGACAGAATAGAGTGGACCTGAGGCAAGCTGAGGCCAGAAATGCACTTGTGCAGTTAGGCCTTTGTGGTCTAGGATCTCAGGAGAAGAGCTTTGAACTTGCACCTGACCCGCAGTCTCCAGCTGCATGAAGCAGAGAAGTGGAGCCATCTCCTGGTTCCTGGCTGGGTCAGCCAGACCAGTCACCCTGTGAGGTCATGAGCTCAGGGTATGTGCTAAGCTGAGAACCCAGGGGGGTTTGTTACACAGCATTTATGTGGCTGTTGCTGACTGATACAGCCAAGCTAGACTTGAGTCTTTAACCTATTAGGTGTTTAAATGGGAGCACCTGGTGGGAGGGTGCTGTGTGAATGGAGGAGGATTTAGCCCCAGGAGACCTAGAAGGGGCAGCAGGTGAGTTATGGGGCCCACAGGCTGTGGAGCTTTCTCGTCTTAAAGAAGAAATTACTTCCTAAAGAAAAGGCACCAACTTAGGAAAGCAGAAGATCAACCTCTGCCACAGGCCTGAGCTGTGGGATGAGGCCCCAGGCTGCCGCTTGGCTCTCTGCCTCCCCCTGCCCGCGCCCCCGTGAGGCGACTGGTTCCTCTCAGCAGTGTCAAGCTCCGTGCCCTGCGCTGGAGCTAAGGACTGGGGCCTTCCGGAGCTGGTGTAGGCAAGCCGGGGTGCCGCTTGGCAGCTGGCAAGGGACACGAAATGTGGGGTTGCATCCTGTCCTGTGTCCAGCCCTCAGTGCTGCCCTGGGCAAGCCGGGGCCTGGTCTTTGGAGGCGCTCAGGCCCACCCCTGCCACCCAGAGACACCGACACTGATGTGCCCCACCTGTGCAGCCTCCTGCTTCCAGGGGCCAAGTGCACCCTCCCCTGGGCACACAGCAGAAAGAAGTCCTCAGCAGGACACCGAGGTCCCTCTGGGTGGGGCGGCTTGTGCCCACCCACCTCTGCTTGGCTCCCTCGGTGTTTGGAACGGCCCAGCTCTGCAGTCCCGGCTGACGAGACTGTCCATCTCTGTGCCCTGAGACCTGCCCCGTATCTTTCATGGTCCACTCCCAGAGGGGACGTGGAGGGGTCACCCACATGTTGATGGGCATCACAACAGCGTAACGAAGTGCAGGCTGGCGTGTGAGATGCCACCTGGAGACGTGGCTCCCGGGGAGTGGGAGAGCATATGAAACCAACCTCGAGGACAGGCGTGACACCAAGCAGCCAAACTCGAGCCTGGGGCAGGCTGTGGGCAGCAGGGGCCAGCGCTGCGTCCACTTCTCAGGTGGTCAGGCCTGCTCCGGCCACACAAGGAGCCCAGTTAACTTGGACAAGCTCCCAAGAGCGCTAAAGGAGAGGCAGGCCTGGCTGCCCCGCCCACTGCCGCCCTGCGCACAGCCAGGCCTGGGGGCTTCTGCCCGGGCACAGCGGCAGTCCTGTAGGGCCGAGGTC